CCGCCGCCGCCATCTTGGAATCGGGAGCTGCCCGGGAGGGGGAGGTGCCGCCTCGCGCCCCGCCCACCCGGCCCGCGGCGGCCCGGACCGGATCACTGCGGATCRGATCGGCCCGGAGTGGATCGGATCGGATCGGCCCGGATCGGCGTGGTCTGGAGTGCAGCGCATCGGAGCAATCCACTTGGTTTGGCCCAGTTCACACTGGCCCGGTTCGGCTCAGCCGGATCGGACTGGCCCKGCCCACATTGACCCAAATCAGACCAGATCAGTTTGGCTCAGGCCAGACTGGATCGACCTGGATAGAACCAGTTTGGACTGGATTTAGACCGGATTGGATTGGACTGGCTCAGATTGGCCCAGATCAGACCTGATGGGCCCAGGCTGCATCAGATTGGTCCACTCTGGRTTGGGCCGGATTGGCCGGTACCGAACTAGATTGGACTGATTCGGCTCAGCCTGGCTCAGACTAAACTGGATTGGCCCGAGCCAGATTAGCCTGGATCAACCTGGGTCAGCCTGGCTTGGAGCAGACCAGTTCACTCCAAGTAGATCCAGTTTGCACCAGGTTAGGCTAGACTGGATTGGATTGGCTTAGACCAGTCCGGACTGGCTTGGACTGGACCAGAATGGCTCAGCCTGGCCTGGTTTGGCCCAGGTCAGCCCCGTTTGGACCAGCTCGCATCGATCCAGCTCTAATCGGATCAGCCCGGTTCGGTTCGGCGTGGCCGCGGGGCCTTCACCCTGGCTCCCCCTGCGCGGACGCTGCCCCGGCCTGATGCGTGACCCATTGTAATTAATAAACAGGCAATTAATTGACTGCATGTGCAGAAGTCAGAAAAACGGAATAGTAAGGGAAAAAAAGGGGGGAAAAGGGGCATTTGCTTGATTGCACCTCAACCACCCCCAAAAGCGGTGTCGGGCTCTGCCTGCCCAGGGGATGTTCCCTATCCCTGAGTTCCTGCGGGATGCCTGGGAATCAAGGCCAAACCCCAGCAAAAAAACCCAAACCGGGGTGGGGAGGCTTAGGATGCTCGATTGCTTGAAAAATCTTGACTAAAATAAAATTATTATTATTATTATTATTATTATTATTATTATTATTATTATTATTATTATTATTATTATTATTATTATTATTATTATTATTATTATCACTCAGGCCCGCAGGCTCGTTCTGCCCGACGACCCCCCATCCTCTCGGTGCTGCCCCCCGCTCCGCGGGCTCCCACGAAGCCCGTGGCGGGTCCCGGACCCCGCATCCCGTTCGGAATCCGGGATCCGGGATCCCGCTCCCGCTCCGCSAGCCCGCCCGGCCCGGCCGCCACTTCCTGTATTGATTCGAACGTGCCGGGGCGGGGCGCTCCCGTGGTGCCCCGCGCGGGGGCGGGGCCCGCCCGCTCGCCGGCGGCCGCCATATTGGGCAGCGCCGCGGCCGGCCCGCAGTGACAGGAGGCGGAGCGGGGCCCGCCGGTCCGACCCGACCCGACCCGRYCCGRYCCGAMCCGACCCGACCCGACCCGACCCGGTCCGCGCCGCGCAGGTGAGCGGGGCGCCGGGCTCACGGCCACGGTGCCGCCCGGGGCCGGCTCCCATCCCTGCGCGGCCGCCGGCTCCATCCCCGCCGCGTCGGGCCCGTCCCCGCCGGTGTGTCCCGCAGCGCTGCCCCCCTCTCCCCGCCTCCTCGTAGCCCGTTACCGGAGCCGCCTCGGGCCGGTAACGGGGCCCCCCGGGCAGCCCGGCTCCCGCTGCCCCTATGGGGGGTGTTTTGCGGCGTGTGGTCCCCCTGCCCGTTACCGCCGAGTTTCGCCCGGTTAACGTGTCCAGCGATGCCGGCGTGGAGTTCGCGACTCGAGCTCCTCGCTGCGAGCGTCTCGTGTAAAAAGCTGGGTTTATTTTCAGTTCGCAAGCAGAGCTTTCGTGGGCTGCTCTGGGAGGTCGCTGCAGGTTCAAGATTCCCTGATTTAGGCTTTTTTTTTCCTATGGATTGACCGTGGGTACCATTGCATCCTCAGTAGCTTAAACCTGATAAAGCACGGGCCTTTTGCAAGGCCTGGCTTTGCCAGTAAAGCTCCATGGGCAAAGATACCGGTGGATTTTTAATCTTGACTTGTGGCGCGATGCCTTCCGATAAGCGTGGTTGTAAAGCAGACCTTTTATCTCAAGCTGATGCTCTTAACAGCTGYTTTGAGCCATCAGGGAGTCTGTTCCGTGGGGCCTCGTGCCTCTGTGGAAGGAAACCCGGCTGGGAGAATTGGGTGCTGGAGCCGCGTGGAAAACGGCCTTTGCGCTGGCTCGGAGCAGCCTGGGCACTCGGCATCGGGAACATCCCGTTCGGGAGATGCCTTGGAGGAGAGCAGGGAGGGCCCTGCACTTAAGAGATGCTCYTGGTTTTCCTCTGCTTCTCAAAGCCTGATGCTCAGTAGAGTGCACAAACTACCGAAAAAGACATAAACAAACAAAAAACTCCCTAAAGATTCCGTAAAATGCTGCGAATCRCACACAAGAGACTTTCTTTGCTGCTTTTCTTTGCTCTCAAGCAAGTTGTTTTCTGGATTTAACGATTCTGCCCTGCTCCTGGGATGAGTTGCCCCTGGAGCTCCAGTGCTGCCCTCCTCGCACCCCCGTCTCCTTGCGTGGCTTGTGGTACCTGCAGGAAACACGGAAGATACTAAATGTCTTCTAGGGAGCCACCAAAGTGAACGCGACCAGGTGGTTGTGGCCGCTTCCAGCCCAAGTAAATCCTCTTATTTCTCCAGTCTGTCGAGCGACTTTCCCAAAACCTGTGTTTCTGTGGCAAAACTGCCGTTGGTGACAAGCTAAAGAGAGGTGCTCTTGGCTGTGGGGCCCTCTGCTCTGTCAGAGGCTGGCTGTGCAGAGGCTTCCGTGTCTCCGTGAAGATGCGGCGCTGGGGGAACGTGTGGGAACCGGGAGGGTTTTGCTTGTGGGGCAGCCCGGGAAGCAGCACCCAGCCGTGCCCGTCTGGCACCTCTTTYCACGGGGACTGAGGTGAGATCCCAAAATGTTGCGAGATGAACTTGTATCCTCTGCCTGTCATCTGAGGGAATCATGCTCACTTCCGTGCCTGCCCTTGGGAATATCCTTTGGGAATATCCTTTGCCGCCCTTGTTTCATTCCTGTCTTGCCCTAGCGCAGAAGCCCCGGCAGCCACAACTTGCCCCCTTGCAACCGCAACGGAGCAGATGGAGGGGACAACCTGTTCAGGCCTCGGTATCTCCAGAGCATCAGCTGCCCACGTTAAACCAGATTTTTAATTCAGCCTTCAGAACTTTAATTAAACCTGTGCAACAGCCAGAAAAGGAAGAGGTGCTCGTTTAGCAAGGCACACTTGCTAAATAATGTGTCTCTAAAACTGGGGAGTGTTTTTTTTCTAGGCTGCCTGTTATTTGTTTTGTCCTCATAATATAGGAGCCTATCACGAAGCTGCTGTTAATTAGGTTCAGAAATTGCCTTTTGACCCATGGGCAGGAGCCAGCACAGAAGTGCCCCAGCCRCGAGCGTCTTTTCGTTGTGTGTGTTTCCCAGCATGGGGTTCCTGCCCTGCTGCAGACTTTGTTCCCCGTTGCAGCTCCCTTGGGAACAGGTATCCCTCTGATTTATGGAGGGAGACACAGAAAAGGGAGAAAAGCAGAAATAATCATGATATGTAGGCAATAAAAAGAGTTTAATGGTGATGCTCTTGAGAAATCACCTGCTGATTACCTGATGGTCGTGACCTGTTTGCTTAGATAAAGGCYGTGCTCCTCATAGACTGTTGCCAACTGCATTGAGCTGTGTGTTGAATGCGAAGGTGATCCCTGAAGGTAGAGTAATAATSATATGATTTTCTTAATTTATTACCAGCTGCTCGAAGCCAGCTTGGAAACCCCGCAGCTGGGAGCCRGGCTGCTGCGTGTGCCACGGAGGTGCGTGTGCGCTGTGGGCTCTGCGCGGCCCCGGCCGCGCCGCTGGCGTTCTCCTGGCATCTGTGTCACGCAGAAGAGCTGAAAACAGGCTCGTGTTTTGAGGACCCTGCTGTCCTGAGCCAGCAAAGCCACCTCGCTGTTTGTTGCTCAGGGTCCCCCATCATCTAGGTAGCACTCTTGCTGTTTGCTGCTGCTGCAAAGCCCTTTTCAAGCCTTAAGCTGGATTCAGGAGCTGCCTTGAAGGCAGTGGAAAATATTATAGCTTGTCCACAAGTGTRAGCACAGACATTTAATGAATTAAAGTCACAGATTTGTCTCCTGCAGTCGGAATTACAGCTCAGGCTCTTGCTCGTGCAAAGGGGCAATGTTAAATGATGCTGGAGGCCAAAGAAAGCGCAAGGAGCTGCAGGTATCACTGAGCTTAGTAGTGAGGCGCAGCGTCTCGAGCTTCAGCACTACCCGAAGGCATCAGGAGGCAGGAGATGAAAAAGCCCTTTGAGTCTCTTTGCCTTTCAGCCGGAGCTCGCATTTCGCCTGAGCCCGTTGTCCGTCTAACGTTGCCTTTTTGGGAGGATTTRCACCTTGTGGGGTTGGTGCTGGTGAGGAAGCTCTTCCCAGAGCACTTGGACTTGTACAGCCATTGGAAAGGCAGAAATACTGTGGATCCTCACAGCACCCTTGAGGAAGGAGGACGTGTCACCTGCATGTTACGCTCTAAAACACTGATGCGATGGGATGGGGTCTGCAGTAATGTCAGGCCCTGCTTTATCTGTGGAACATTGAATTTCTGCAGCCTCCAAGAGGGCGGTGTAACAAAATAAGGGGGAGATCTTGACTGTCACCATGGTACAATAGCAATATTTCCAATATTACAGTCTTTTCGTAGTACCTAGTTGTGAAGAACCATCTTGTGTGAGACAGTGAAGCTTATATTTTATTTTGAAATTAAAAAAAAAGCTTAATCTGCTTCTTTCGTTTATAAATTTATTTTTTATTTTGTAAATTATTTTTTACTCCATACCTTTGTAAATCATTGGGCAAGAGACTGCATAATGATTTTGAAAAGGTAAACACTAGTAAAATTTACACAGGGCTCTAGCTTTTTGTGCTACTTCTGCTTCTGAAAGAAGGTTGGTTGCCTAGAAATGGTTCTTTGGTGTAATAGGTGAATGCAGGGGCTGTTCCCTCCCTTTGGAGCCGCTCTCCTCCACGCTGGCCGCGAGCAGGGTGTTTTGCACCTTCCAGAAGTTGGTGTCAGCAAAATGTTTTTAATATTCAGCATGCATTTGTAGCAGGCTTGAGCCGGACTGTATTTTAGCTGCAAGAAAACCCCAAATATCTATTCAGGAGTGTAGAAAATGAGCGATTCCGTAATACCTGGCAGTACTGTTTGATGCTGCAGGTGAGGCAGCAGGAGCTCCCCGATCCAGCCGTTTTCTGCCGGGAAGAGCCGTTCCTGGCTACAGTCCTCGTGGCTCTCCCAGTGCCAGCTTTGGCTCTCACGTAGCCCTCAGAGAGTGGATGCAGCCGACTGACTCAGCAAAAACTTCTGCTCTTTTGGGCTGCGTTCATTTTCTGCCATCCCAGGGAGCCCGGTGGCCTCGGAGCGGGTCAGGCCAGAGCCGGTGCAGAGGAAGAGCAGGACGGTTTAGCTGGYGGTGGAGGTCACTAGTTGGCCAGGATGCCGGCTTTTGGGAAGCAGGATGTGTGGGGAGGATGTCAAACACGGTGTGATTTACTCTTCCTCTTGGTAAATTATGGGGTCCTTCCTGAGGTGTTTCACATGAGTAATAAAGTGTTTTCTCTCCACGTTAGCACGGGGATGCTGTTAGGTGTCGATCCGAAGAGGTAGCCTCTCTGGTTTGGGATAGGCCCTTGCCATCTTTACATTCAGCTATGGAAGTGGGGGGCTTTAATTTCCCTGGAAGTCAAGAGAGAGGAAGAAAAAAGAAACCCCCCTTCTCTTAAGAGCAGAAGAGCAGAGCGGTACTGAGGAACAGTGAAGTTATCCTGAAGAAACAAAAGATCTTAGGGAGCTGAGGCTGTGGTGAATTCCTCTGGAGCACATATTTTGTTACTGATTAACCCGCTAACTTATGCCTGGAGGGGAGAGAGTTTTTTACTCCCGAGGAACAACTTGAGTATTGTTGCTCTTTTACCGTTTTCTTAAGGTAGGTTAAGGCTTCTCTTTGAGTTGGCTGGATTTTATCGTAGGTAGCGTTTCTTGCAGGACCATGGTTCTGTGAGGTGCTCAACAAAAGTGTTTTGTGCCGTTTATTGCACTAACTTTAACATATTCAAATACATAAATGTGTTTTTCACAGGATGGAGCTGCTTTTAATAAACCTCCTGCAGAATGACAGGTGGTTGGCAGGGAAATGGATGCAATTATCCCACAAAATTGTTTGTTTGCWGTTGGAGAGACGGCCTGTACCTGTTTAGATGTATTAGCTTTATTAGGGTTGAAGTTGTGGTCTCAAGCGTGCATTTTCCATCATAACTGAGCCCTTTTGTTTAGATTCTGATGTGATCTACCYGAGCAAGGCAGGAGTCAGACAGGTCTTAGGGGAAGATGTTGAGCACAGAAGATGCTGCTTGGAGACCACGGGATCCGGAGGAAAGCCAAAGGCAGCTGAACGAGGGGTGCAGTATATTCCTAAATCAAGAGGTCTGAAGAGAGTGGAGGAAATTCTGGTATAATTCAAATACAATTGACGCTATATTGATGCTGAATTTGGAAGCACTTAAAGCCTGCAAAAGGTTGTTTGGGGCTTATTAGGATTATTTTTGCGTTCTGCTTTTGCAGTCTGTTCTCCTACTCTCCGCTCTCCATATGCCCCATCTCCAACATCTCATTTTATTCAGTAGAAACTGATTACTGTCAAATTTAGTAGCTCTCCGGTTTTGCCTCTGAAAGAGCATACGGGAGACATCACTTAAATTAAAAATAATAAGTTGGGGAGGAGGGTGTGAGAGGTAAGCAGGTGTGCTCAGAAGCAGCTTGGCATTAGTTATATAAGGAACGCTCCTATGGAAGTGTTAGCACCTTTTATGGCAAGAAAACCAAAGGCCCCTACGTTTCAGCAACTCTTAAAAGTTCAAGTTCCAGCTCTAACAAATGGCTTGATAAAAATAAAGCCGCTTTGTTAGCTCATAGCTGCCCGTGGTCCAGAGTTCGTGTCTCATTCCAATCCAGTCAAACGCAGCCGTGCTAACTGCCTTGCAGCACGTGCTGGTGTAACCTCGCCACCCTGGCAGTAGGTGCCCAATTTGGGGGAACCTCGGGCAGGTTTTGTGTTGTGGGAGACGACCCCTTTCCCAGCAAATCCCGCTCGGGGCTGCAGGCAGTTCCAGCTGCTCCTGCGTGGGTTTCTCCTGGGACAGCTCTTGGAGTGCAGTTGCCTCCCTGGTTTTGCCACAAGTTTGTGTCTCGAGGCAACTCCATTTGGGACTGCAGCCAAATGCACTAAACGTTTATAGAGCAGCAGCAAGCGAGGATCGCTCTCCGCTCCTCCACTGCCTCCCTGTTGTGGTTTTCTCTCCGGAATGCTTGCTAGATTCCACCTTGCCCTTCGAAGATGCCTATCTGATCGAGAGGCAAACCTAGCATGCCCGTGCCGGTGGTGGCATTTTTGCATCAAGGGAGCTGGCACCATGGGCCATGTCCCCTCTGTTCTCTCCAGTTTTGGGGYTGGATGCAGCAAAGGTGCTTACATGGATAAAGTTTCTCTCTTGTTTGCTCTATCTGTCAGGTCTCCCCACTTCTAGGTGAAGGATAAGATGTGTGCRTATATATAGATGTATATAAATATGTATGCATGTGCTCCTGCTGTGGGTCTCGTAAGCTTGGGTCCTGTCGGACACAAAATGCTCATTGCCTGTGCGTGTGAATCAGCGGCCGGGGCAATAACGCAGAGAAACACCCTCAGCAGCAGCCTCGTGCTGGGTTTTGTCACGTAACTTTGATAACGGTGCTCTTGAAGGTGATCTCAGGTTTAAAGAATGGGTTTAAAGTGTGGGCAGCTTGCAAGGTGGGCAGAGAGGGGGAACCTGTTGCGCTGCAGTCCTGCTCTTCTGCTCTGGCTTCGTTCCTTAATCACCTGAAAAGCGCCGTGAACCTCTCTGGTCAGTGATAGAAAAAGAGATGCTGAAGAGAGTGGCTTCTCCGTGCAAACGTGTGATGTTTTGGTAACTTTSTCCTGTCTCTCACAGCAGATTTGCAGTTACTGTTCGGGCTTCATGAAGATAAATTCCTGGGACTGCTGACCTCCCCACCTCCCCTGTCCTTTCCACCATGGACCAGGATTACGAGAGACGTCTCCTGCGTCAAATCAATATACAGAATGAAAACACGATGCCTTGCGTGAGTACAAACATGTCATACATCTTGGTGTGACTGTTMACTTGTTTGCAGGGTGTGGAGCCTCATCTGTGCAAACCTTTGGGGCTGTGACTGGGTCCCTCACAATAACTTAATGCAGTTTCTGCAGCCTAAGCTGAGTTTGTGCTTAGAAGCTTTGTTGGACTTAAAATAACTTCATGTTCATATATAGTGATGTCTCAGTAAGTACACGTGGCACACAAACCTGGAGGCTAACAAACCAGCCTCAAAACTGGAGAGTAAAGAAGCCAGAGAGGAAGCTTTAAAGAGAAGGGAAGATAATGTTAATGTATCTTGCTTCCTATGAAGGTTACGGAGCAAAACCTTCTGGAAGCCACTTTGGGACATGTGAAGGATATGAAGGGGTTTGGGAGCAGTCGGCACAGACTCAGCGGGGGCAAATCACACCTGACAGCCTTCTGCGAAGGCTGATTAGCTAAAGGGATGAAGAGAGATGTTGTTTACACTGATTTTTAGCCAGGCTTTTGACAGCCTTATCCAATATCCTTGCAGCCAAATGAAAGGTGGGTGAAAATCTAGTGGGACTGTGGGCTCGTAGTAACAGGCAGCAGTTGTGAAAGCTCCCTGTTGTGCTCAGCCAAGATAAGCGTGAGGTCCCACACCTTGGCCAGAACAATCCTGTGCAGCAAATCAGGACCAGTGCTTCATAAGGCAACTTTGCAGAAGAGGAGGGGTGGCACCGTGGCCGTGAGTCAGCAGGGTGTCCCTGTGGCCAGGAGGGTTGTCTGTGTCACGCCGCTTTTGTGACAATTAGCCAGCAATATGACACAATTATTCCTGTTGTCCCCATGAGGTGACTTCTGGAGTATTCTAGAATAGTTTCTAGAGTATTTTGGAGTCCTGTGTGTTGTTTGGGTTCCACAGTATGAGAGCGAAAAGGCAGAGCAAGTCCAACATGGCACAACATGGAACAACGGGTGCAGGGAGCTTGAGGAGTCTCTGTCCTTGGCAGGACTGAAAACTCGGCTGGGTGAGGCTGCCACCCTCAGTCCACCTTTGAAACCAGCCCTGTTCTGAGAAAAGGTCCTTTCCCACATAAATTATTCTGTTAAAGAAAAATAAATAGACTACAGTCAGGGAACATGCAGCTTACCTTGAAGGAGCCTGCCCGAGTCGAGGCTTCCAGGTATTGACAGTCCTTCCTTGGGAAGGGTTAATGAGAAGGAGGTTGCTTAATTTGCTCTTTAATTCGCCAGAAGATCTGGCGACTGTTGAAATATGGTGTGCTCATTAGCTCTGTTAAGAGAATAAACCAATATTAGCTCTTCTAGCCTTATTTAGCTTTGACACAGCCAGTTTGATGTTTTTCAGACCCCTACTGTGATCACCATTTGTTCTTGCATGTCTTTTATTCTTCAATTTAGGTAGCCGAGATGAGAAGAACACTGACACCTTCCAACTCTCCAATGTCTTCTCCTAGTAAGCATGGAGACAGATTTATTCCCTCAAGAGCTGGGGCCAACTGGAGCATTAACTTCCACAGAATAAATGTAAGTTTTTTCCTCCTGTCTCCTAAAGCTCAAAGGTTTGGAATTGAGGCAATGGTGCATCTCAGTGTGCCTGGCAGAATTGTTCTGCTTATCTTCTGTATCGGGGTCTTCTGCTGTCCCAGAAGAGTTATTCTGAATGTGCATGTCCTGGCCCACATGGACAGCCTGCAGGCAGGCCTCTCACTTTGGTATTTTATATGTATTTTGAGAGGTTTCTGTATGGTGATTTCTTCCTTTCAGGAAAATGAAAAATCACCAAGTCAAAACAGAAAAGCAAAGGATGCTACATCAGACAATGGCAAAGGTGAGACCCTCTTTCCACTGCGTATTTAGTGCATAGAGGTTTTTGTTTCAATCTGGTGCAATGTTGGCAATCAAAAGTGAGCCCTTACCCTTCTGTACTTGTGCCAGAAGGGTTTGTGGGGTGAATGCTCCCATCGCAAGGGTGCTCATCTCAGCAAGCTGCTGGCCAAGCAACTGGAAAGCAGGAAATTATTTCTACCCTAGACGTGTTGTATCATGGAAAGGCTTTTCCTGATGGAGTGGAAGAAGGGGAAACTTGTTTCCAATTCAAGGTAACAGTCTAATAATCGGAGTTCTCTGCCCAAACACTTGCTTGGCTTCACAGATGGCCTTGCTTACTCTGCCTTGCTGAAGAATGAACTCTTGGGAGCAGGGATTGAGAAAGTTCAGGACCCGCAGACGGAGGACAGGAGGCTGCAGCCGTCCACCCCGGAGAAGAAGTCCCTCTTCACCGTAAGCCAACTGCTTTGCGCTCAAATCAATGAGAGTGGTCGGGCCTTTTGTTAGAGCCATAAGAAAAAAGCCTGTAGCTCTGTCATGTTTCTAGTGCCGGAGAGTTTTTGAAGTTATTGGTGTCGCTTTGTTACCATAAGCTGTGATAACAAAATCTGGTGGCCTCTAAAATGATGGTGAATGTCTGTAGAAAGCTGCACACTTCCTTTTTGTTGTGCTGGCAATGAAGCTGAGCTGGAACCAAGCTCTTTGAGCACCCTAAAAGTCTGCGTAAGTGATGACATTGAGGTTTTGAGGAGAATTTTGATATCGTTTTGAAGTGCCTGGAAAAAGAAAGAACTGAAAAGGTTGGGAATTCTGCCCCAGTGGGTGCTGGACTTAACTAGGCAGTGGCCAAGGCCCTGGACGTGCTCAGGTTCTTATCAGATGGGTTTTCTCCCCCAGTATTCTCTCAGCACGAAGCGCTCCAGTCCGGACGATGGCAACGAGGTGTCGCCGTATTCCTTATCTCCCGTCAGCAACAAAAGGTAATAAAGATTCCCAACAAGCTGTATGGAAAGAGGGTTGGGACAGAGYGTTGAGGTTCTCCAGGGGTTCTAAGGCAACCAAATAGCAATTTGAATTAGTCTTGGAAGTCTGAGGGCTTAAGTAGGGACAAATAATCTCTTTGAGGATTTCTAGAGATAACCCAAACCATATAGATACCTAATACTTCTTGGACAACCTTCAACAAATCTAATTCCTTCCAGTCTTGTTTGTTGGAAGGCATTTTGCACGTTCTTTCTGTTTGTGTTAGTGCAGAAGTGCAGATATGCTTTGAAGAGTGGCGCAGCAGTGTGTACAGTTGTCTACAATATGTAAAATCATGTAGTTGTTTTTGCATTTGCTCTTGTAAACAGTCAGAAGCTGCTCAGATCWCCTCGAAAACCAACGCGGAAAATCTCCAAGATTCCTTTCAAAGTGCTGGATGCCCCGGAGCTGCAGGATGACTTCTACCTGAACCTGGTCGACTGGTCCTCTCTTAACGTCCTCAGCGTTGGCCTTGGGACTTGTGTTTACCTATGGAGCGCCTGTACCAGCCAGGTAAACCATGACCCTCTCCAGGGAGGGAAGTCRCAGTTGTAGGTGTTTTCCCAGCCCAAACATCCTTCCAAACGGGGGAATTTCCAGTGTAAGGGAATTCAGCACTTGCAATGCTCCATCCCAAGTATTCAGTTTGTCAGGCAGCTAATAGGGTGCTGTGGTGGTCGCAGATGTTTCTTACTTTGTCCTGTCTTTTTTCCAAGGTAACCCGGCTGTGCGACCTGTCCGTGGAAGGAGATTCAGTAACGTCTGTGGGCTGGTCAGAACGGGTCAGTATAAGATGGTCAACCATATGAACTGAAGCTATATAACCTATAAGTTAAGCTGGAGCTATATAACYCTTTCTAAGGAATTGTAACTTCTTGGGTCCCTTTTCTGTCTTCCTCCAGACTCCCTGCGTGGTTTTGAGCARCTGTATTTGCTTGTCTGCACTCATTTCTCTGCTGATTGGGAGGGGACGGAGGGTGACGTGTTCTAGCTTGAGGTTCTCTAGGTGGTTGGTAAGATGTATAGGAATGGGGAAGAAACAGTTCAATTGTCCAGCTTTGGACAAGAAAATATCATGAAAAACGTGTCCCAGCTAGACTAGTAGGCTCTCTTCAGTGAGCAAAAAAATGTGAGGTAGAAAAATATTGTATATATTTTGATCTTGTGGGTTTTATCCTCCACATCTGGCTTTTGTTCTATGTCCACCTTCACTTAATGTCTTCACTGACCCTGAGTTTTGTGTTTGTCCAGGGGAACTTGGTGGCAGTTGGCACTCACAAGGGCTTTGTACAGATCTGGGATGCAGCTGCAGGAAAAAAGCTTTCCATGCTGGAGGGGCACACGGCTAGAGTTGGTAAGGAGATGAGGCAGGAGGCCTCGCAGCGCTGTGTCTTCAAACGGACATTTTTTTCCTCCTATAAAGAAGAGTCTGCTGGAAATAGCAGGATTCCAAAATTACAGTAATTGATATTTATCCCCTGCTGCATTTTGGGCAGTCTTTAGAAACGTTATCACTTGGTAACCACTGTGTTTTGTTCTTGGGCGCGGTGGTGCCCGGGTGGTTAYGGCAGCGCCGCTGCAGGTGTTTCCTCCACGTCTGGGGCGTTTGGGGTTTGGTTACAACATCTTTTTTCACTGCTGCTGGCTTCTGCTTTCGGGCTTTGAACGGGCTGCTTTACACGGAGGTTTTCACTTGCCTCGTTTCTCAGGAACTGTTTGTTTTGCTCGGCGGTGGTGTTGATCTGATCCCGGGGCTAAGGTTGGGGAAGCGGAGACACCTTCCCGGTTCTATTTCTGTGAAGTGGGGTTAGAGAGGCCTTGCAGYGCGCAGCTCCATCCTTCTCTGCGGGCTCTTCAGGACCGCACACAGTGGATAGAAAGGAGTTCCCAGAGCGCTCGGGTTTGTCGTCCCCACCAAGCGTGGTGGCCGTCCTGCCTGCCCCGTCCTCCCTTAACCTTGTGGCTGTGCCCGCCGCAGGTGCCCTGGCCTGGAACGCGGACCAGCTCTCCTCCGGCAGCCGGGACAGGATGATCCTGCAGAGGGACATCCGGACCCCGCCTCTGCAGTCCGAGCGGCGGCTCCAGGGCCACCGGCAGGAGGTCTGTGGGCTCAAGTGGTCCACAGACCACCAGCTCCTGGCGTCTGGAGGAAACGATAACAAGGTACCGTGCGTCTTGCCCATCAGCATCCCCAGATCGTCTCCGAGACGTGCCGGGTGCTCTCCTYGAAGATAGTCAGTCTCCCTGAAAGCACTTTTCTTCCAATCCTTAAACTGTTCCCTACCAGAAGTACTGCTGAGCTTCTACTCCCTCTCTTACCTTCCTAATAAGGCAAAAARGCCAAATTTTAAATCATGCTTCCACATTTGGCTAATTAAAACTCTAAGGTTTTGAGCCCAACTAACCTGTACTTCCCGACTTTGTTTAGGTAATGTATAACCAGGCCYGTTGTAATAGTGCTCATGTGAGTGGAAGCAAACTGTATTTAAAAGCTTGTATAAGTTTTAATACCTCTAACTCCGGCTTATAACTCCCTGAATACCATATGGAGGAAGCATCTGCTGGGAAGTGCAGCACCCAGGGCCCGTTGGAGAGGGTTGCTAGGTGGTGARTTTGCCTGAGGTTTCAGCGAGAGCTGTAGCACGTTCTTCCTGCTCGGAATATCTTCTAATAAACTCGAGCGTATTTCCAAATGTGTGCTGGAATAWTCCAGTCTCCCAGACAAAAGAAAGTCTTGGCTACGCGTTCAGTGGGTCTTTGGCTTTGTGAGCTTAGCTTAAGAGCTGTTTTGTTTCCTTATTACCCAGCGATGAAGCGGCCCCTCGGTTGTGTGGTGACGGGGAGGGCCTGGCTCCAGGGCTCCAGCAGCTCCCGGAGCTGCCCGTGCTTGGGCAGGGCTGTGGGAACCCGTCGTGTTGCACAAGCGCCCTGCTCAATCCCACGGTGCCCTCGTGGCTTGTGGGCGCTGGAGACACGGGACCGCAGCGCGCCTCCAATCCCGTCTCCTCCCTCTGCCAGCTTCTTGTCTGGAATCACTCCAGCCTGAGCCCCGTGCAGCAGTACACGGAGCACCTCGCCGCGGTGAAGGCCATCGCCTGGTCCCCGCACCAGCACGGCCTCCTGGCCTCCGGCGGCGGGACCGCCGACCGCTGCATCCGCTTCTGGAACACGCTCACGGGGCAGCCGCTGCAGTGCATCGACACCGGCTCCCAGGTGTGCAACCTGGCCTGGTCCAAGCACGCCAACGAGCTGGTGAGTTCCTGCTCCCCCCGTCCTGCCCCGGCGCCCCGTTTCCTRCGGGAAGGAGCGCCATTCCCACTCCCTTCTCTCCTTCCAGGTGAGTACGCACGGATACTCGCAGAACCAGATCCTYGTGTGGAAGTACCCCTCGCTAACGCAAGTGGCAAAGCTAACGGGACACTCGTACCGAGTCTTATACCTGGTAAGCCCCACGTGTCCCCAGTGGGGACTCGCCAGCCGTGCATTTGTGCTGTGCCCGCGTGCCGGGAAGAGGCTCGGCGTGCAGCCGGTGGCACCGAAGGCTGCCTCTTGTCTAGGCAGAGCTGAGAATGCTGCCCTGCAAGCAGCGAAAAAGCCCCGTGTCTGGTTTTCCTGCCTGCGAGGGATGCTTTGATTCGCTCCTGTGCAAATGTGAGGTTTTAGTAATGAATAGCGAAGCCTGCCAAAACTCCTCTGAGGAAGCACCAGCATCTCCTAATTCTCTTTAAGACTTTTGCACTGTATTTTTTTTCATTGGAGATTGCAGCAGGGGAAGAATCTGACACTTTCAGCCTTCCCAATGTGGCTCTATTCCCGTTACACGGGGCTGGGAAGGGTGCTGTTACAAAACAGTACCGGCGTATTTATCATCCCTGAGCGGCTTCCAGTGCAAGTGACTAATGGTGCTGGCATTTGCCAGCTCCCTCACACTTCCTGTCTTAGCACATATTTCTAATCCAGGGAGGAACGGCCTCGGTTGCAACTGGCTTGGATTTCCCAACGCAGGAATCCTTTTCATGTTAATTCCACCCATGTGTCCCATAACTGCGTAAATAAGAAGCAAGTGCTCAGATTGGCACCTCCTGAGACTGCGAATAAGGCCCAGGAAAGCAGCGGGGGCTGTTTGGTTTCTCACCGTCAGCCAAATAGCAAGGAGAGTTATAAATCCTCACCGGAACGCCTCGGAGAGAAGCTCTCACCCTCAAAAATGCAGTAGTTGTTAAAGGTTGTTCTCTCTCGCTTAGGCGATGTCTCCTGATGGGGAGGCCATAGTTACGGGAGCCGGAGACGAAACCTTGCGGTTCTGGAACGTCTTCAGTAAAACCCGCTCGACGAAGGTGAGGAGGCGCCGCGGGGCCGCGCTGCCTTCGAGCAGCCCTCCCTTGGGAGCTCGCTCTGTTCCGCTGCCTCGGCTCCGCGGGGCCCTCCTGCAAGGGCCGGAGGGGTGTCACAGGGAAGGGTCAAACCTTACTGAGCTGGAAAGGGAATCAAACGGAACGGATTCCCTCTGGAATGGATGATGGATTTCAGCCATCAAACGGAGTAAGAGGTTGCACCGCGGCGTGGCGGAGCGTCGCTCTGCTGCCCGTTACGGGCTGCTCAACGCAGTGCAAGAAGTGCCTGGCTCTCCACGGGGAGCGTTGCAGGGCCCCCCACCCCGGCCTCCSGTCTTCCCCGCCGCATCCTGCTCCCAACCGCCGCTCTCCTTGACCATAGTTATCCCCTGGCTCCAARCGAATCGCTCACCGTGATGGTGGTGGCTCGGGTGAGATGTCCTGAGAAGGGCCGTTAAAACSTGCCCTCAGGGAAAGCAGGTCGTGCCAGAAGCTCTGCGAGACGGAGCGTCTCGGGCCTCTCAGAGGAAGGGACGAATGGGATTCTCCTGGGATTCACTCTGAGGGAGCGCTGGGCTTAATATTTGCTTTGTCTTTTCAGGAGTCCGTGTCCGTTTTAAACCTCTTCACCAGGATACGATAAACCCTCTGCGTTACAACCCAGGAGGGTCCAGCCTGACGTGCCAGGATAAAACCACTAACTTGGTGTGCATGGAACCCCCAAACGATCAGCCAGGAGGGGAGTGAGTGTCAGTGGAGCGGAGGATGGATCTGACAGATGCTAATTAAATATGTGCTTGTGAACCACACTGGACAGTATTTGGGATGGGGCTGGGGAGGGCCAGGACTTGCCAAAGGTTTACGGACTTTTCCTTTGCAAGGGGGAAACGGGTACAAGAGATGTCAAAACAGCGCCCTGCGACCCTTGTTCTGTGCGTGGAGAAAACACGTGGGCTACGGACCGCAAAGACCGGAGCGAGGCCGCCCCAGCCGCTGCGCTGCCTCCCCTCGGCAGGGACGAGCGCCCTTGCCCTTGGGCGCAGAGACCTCACGTGCTGCCTTGGCTCCCCGGGCACCTTTGGAGGTAGGAGCCAGCCAGGCTTTGTTGAGTGCAGCTGGGGCGAGGACTAGACTCCAGCCTGGCCCTTGGCCTGGCGCCCGCTGTCCAAGGGCATTGGCGGCAGCCTGGGACGTCCGTTGCGTGAAGAAACTGGAGAACTGCGTGTTTTTCTTGCGTTTTTCCCAAATAAAGCAGGTTCTGCAGTGCTCGGTACAGTCCTTCCCGTAAGACAGTCTCACGTTGGCACGTGTAGCAGCTGTGGCCCAACCGAAACAGCTGGGGCCTCTGAACTTAAGAGGCTCCACCTTGGAGGGAGCCCGTTCAAAGCATTTCCAAATTGCCATTGCATGTTCCAGGCTGATCTCCAAGCTTTTAGTTAATGATGAGGAAAAACAATGTCTTGAGAGAGAGAGAGAGAAAAAAAAAAAAGTAGTATTTGGAGTTTCCCCGGTGCCGTTTGTTGCAAGCTGGAGCCTCGCTGAGGCCACAGCAGTTGAGATGTGGTGGGAGAGCCGCTGTCGGTCTGTAATTGCAAGGCAGGTGTTGGCTGCACCGGGAGCTCCGGCGCCGGGCGCGGGCTCCTTTCTGTGCAGGGACGACCTGGGGCTTTTCCCGTCTCCGAGTGCAAGCCGGGACCCGTCGAGCTGTTCCCTGCCCGTTCTCTTCTTTCCGAAGCCGCGGGCGAGGAGGGCGCGCGGTGCCTGGTGCCTGYGGAGGTTCTGCTTGAGCGTAAGAAGCTGCTCTGCCCGCAGCAGCCCCTGCTGCCCCGCTCTGTGCCCGTGCCAACGCCGCCCGCTCTGGCTCTCAGTGTTGCCCCTCTTCCCCTGGCTCTGTACATAGACCCCCTTCTCTGTAGAGTGAATAGTCAGGGCTGTTTTCCCCCTTCTTTATTTTATTTTTTGCCACGAGAGCGCAGGGAAGGGTGGAGGTGGGAATGTCCCCCGGGTCGTGCCGGCCCCGGGCGCAGCCTGTACCCGGCCGGCGGTGCCGCCGCCTGACGCTCCCCCCGCCGGTACCTGTGCTGTCCTCGCCTGCTCAAACCCCGTTTTCCGCACGAGTTTGAACCCCACCAGCACAAAGCCCCGAGCGCTCTGGGGAGCCCCGARCCGTTTGGGGAGCCCCGAGCGCGGCCACCCCGCCAGGGCGCGGGACGCGAGGCCTCCTTAGCACTCCTTCCACGGCCGCCTCTTGCCGCGGGCACTGGTGGTGGTCCCGAGCACGCCGGGACCCCTGGGAAGCACTGAGGGGCTGTTAATTAATGGGATCGTTAAGTTGGGAAGTGGTTTTGAACCACGAGGCTGGCGGCAGGGCCTGTCGCGGGCTCTGTCCTTGAAACCACCCCGTTTGGGGACGGGGGGCCTGGGCCGCGGGTGCTCCGACCCGGCGGGCAGTGGCTGCCCCCGGGGGTCTCCTTGTGTGTCCTGGGCTCCCCCCTCACTTGTCACAAGGGCCAGGAGGGGCCCGTGCTGCCCGGCGCCCCCCTCACTCGTCCCCTCACTCGTCCCCTCACTCGTCCCCTCACTCGTCCCCTCACTCGTCCCCTCACTCGTCCTCTGCTCGGGTGGCACCGGCTCCATCGCAGCCCACCCAGGGGAGCACAACTCTGGCAGCCTTGTCATTATTATTATTATTATTATTATTATTATTATTTTCCYTGTTCGTGTATGACCTGTAAGCGCTGAACTGTGCGGGCGGGTTGAGCGAAGGGGCCTCCCGGCCTCTCTGCGCCCAAGTCTGCGACCTTGTGGCATTTGTTATATATAAAAGGCATCGTATGTGGAAAATTATGGAGCGTTGTAACTTTTTTTTTTTTTTCCTCTGTAAAGCGATCTAACTGGCATTAAACAAGTTGTGAATTTAAGCCTGGTGCTGTCTGGAAATGGYGTCTGCGGAAGGGGAGGGGACGGCAGGTCCGGAGCCCCCCGGCAAAACTGCCCTGCTTGGGGTGCACGGAGCAGCTTTGCCCCCGCTTGGGCCCTTCGTGCCCCTTCCCGCTGCKGTCGCCTCCTCTTTGCCCTTCCTGTGGTGGGAAAAGCAGGAAGGGGGAGCCGGGAGGGAGCCAAGGYGCTGGAGCCCCTGCCCGTTGCCAGGGCCCTGCACCCGGTTCTGGTTCTGGTTCCGGCAGCGCAGGCTCCCGCRGAGCCGGCAGCCATGGAGCGGGGCTGGCACCGGCCCTACGTCCCGCAGAGCACCCTGGAGAGCCACTTCCCGCAGCCCCTGTGCAGGTGGGAGCCGCTGCCCGCCGGCGGGACGCGGGCGCTGCCGGCGCGGGCCCCAGCGCCGCACACGGGTGTCCCCCGCCCGCAGTGACCAGTACGTGACGCTGCGCGGCCCGCGCGCCCCGCCGGCGCCGCGGCAGGCCCTGCGCTGGGCGCTCGGGCCCATGGGCCGCGACGCCCGCGGCCGCCTCTGGCCCACGGCGCCGGCCCCCGGCGCGGCCGCCCCCGGCCGCCCCCTCCAGCGCTGGCAGCAGGGCCAGGCCGGGCGCCAGCGCCTGCCCCCAGGTAGGACGGGGGGGACGGGGGACATGGGGACGGGGTCCGCAGTGGCAGGAGGGGGCTGGGGGGCCCTGGCGCTGCCCCCATCCCACCGGCGCCGCTCGCTGCCCCAGCTCTCGCCCAGCGCCTGTGCGAGGGGGCCTGGTGGGACCCCACGCTCCCCGCTCGGCACCGGCCCCGCGGCGCCTGCTGGGGAGCCTTCCTGTGGCGGGAGAGGCCCGCGCGCGGCCACGAGTTCGGTAGGACCCAGGGGGGAGCCGGGGGGGCCGCGCGGGGCTCCGGCTCCAGCTGCTCTCCCACTCTGCTCCGCAGTCGCCACCCGCAGCCGCAGCCCCCGGGAGCCGGCGGGCAGCCCGGGCTACGTCCCCGGCCTCTCCTTCTGCCGCCCGCCCGYCACCGCCCGCGACGTCTGCGCCTGGAGCCGCCTGCGCCACCCGYAGTGAACGGCACCGAACCCCGGAGCACAGCAGGGTCCCCTCCTGGAGTCCCCAGGGGACAAGCTGGGGTGGCCACCACCACCCCGGGGAGCCCCAAGGCAGCAGCCAGAACCGGGTTCGGGTCTTTATTCATCAAAACAGTCTGGCCCCTGGGTCCCTTGCCACAGCACCCACAAGCACCTGGGCCCGCGTCCCCACAGGTGCCACCACGGCCTGACGGTGACACGGCCGCGAGCCGCCGTCCTCGTGCCAAGCGGCACCGGCTGCTCCTGCTGCCAACTGGGGAGCGCAGGGCAGGGAGCCCCTGGGCTCCATAGGGGCTGGAGCAGCAGGAGCAGCCGGGAGCCCCCCGGCTCCGCAGGGGCTGGAGCGCAGGGCAGGGAGCCCCTGGGCTCCGCCAGCTCTGGCTGCACCGTCCTGGGGCTGGAGGGCACTTGGGCGCTGAGCCCCTGTCACCCGTGTCCTGCTGTCCCCTCAGAGGGCTCCGTGTGGCCCCTGTCCCCTTGCCGATGTCCCTGCTGGCCTCACGTCTTCCTGTACCTCACGGGGCCGAGCGAGGGAGGCCAGGGTGAGGCCGCGGCAGGAGTGAGGGTGGCACCGCGGCGGTGCCATCACCCYGTCCCCGCCGTCCCCGTCCTCACTGGTGCTGCAGCCTGAAGTCCGGCCAAGCGCCCAGCGCCGTCAGCTGCTGCTCCAGCTCTGTGATGCGCAGGCCGATGTAGCCCGAGGACAGCAGCAGGGCCACCATGCTGGGGGACAGGGCAGTGTCGGGTGCCCTCCCTGGGACACGGTGGCAGGGCCGGCAGCGGCGCCAGGGCTCCCGTTCGCTCCCCTGGGGCTGCGGGGGGCGGGAGAGGCCACGGGGCCAATGCCCAAGGATGGTGCCGGTGCCACCCTGGAGAGCGGCCTGTGCCAGGGCCGGGTGACATGCAGGGTGCCAGGGGCTGGTGACACACAGGGTGCCAGGGTGGCACACAGGGTGCCAGGACCGCGTGACACACAGGGTGCCAGGGGCAGGGGCAAAGGCACGAGGTGCACGGGCTGCTCGGGGGCACTCACAGCAGCAGGTAGATGACGATGATGGTGTTGAGGAAGCTCAGGCGGGACAGCCAGTCCCTCAGGGTTGTCTTGGCCTGTGCCGCTGCGCGGAGTCCCCCTGCCAGGACGAGGCGCTGCCAGCGCCAGCCAGGCTGGCTCTGGCCTTGCCGGGTGTGGGGGACAGTGGGGACAGCTCGAGGAGCCAGGGGGGTCCCCTGCCCCTCGTCCCATCGCAGCTTTGCTGGGGCCACACTCACCTGTGCCCAGGGCGGGCACCTCCTCACCCTGCTCTGCTTGGCCAGGCCTTGGGCTTGGTCCATCTGCACAGAACAGGGAGGCGCTCGCCAAGTACCCTGGGGCGGGGGGCATGGGGGTCCCGCTGGGCCCGGGTACCCGTGCGAGGGGGAAGAGCGGCTGCAGGGCCGGCGCTCACCGGGCGCCGCCGGGACGCTRCCGAGCTCCGCGGTGCTCTGCTCCAGGTCCGACTGGCTCGAGGTCTGGAAGGGACGAAACTCGGGTCGTGGAGCCCCCCCTGCCCCTGCGCCTCGGCGGGACGTGCAGGAGCCCCCCTGTCCCCAAAGGCCGCCCCAGTGCCCACCCGCCTGGCGGCAGAGCTGCCACCCGCCTGGCTTGCCAAGGCAAAGCCGAGCCCAAGCCCAGGAGYGTGGCAGAGGGACCCTGGCAGCCCCATCCCTCGGCCTCCATCTCAACCAGCAGCCTCCCCTCTTTACCTGCGTCTTCTTGAGGACTTGCTGGGTGCTGCCGCCGAGGGGAGAGGCCGGGGGGCTGCCRGCCGGGCCGTTCTCCTGCACAAGGAGAGGGTGGGATGGGGCGCGGGAGCCGCGGCACCGCGGCGGCACCGGCACCACGGCAGCACCGGCACYGCAGCACCCACCTCCAGATGTGTGCAGAGCGACCTGAGCAGCTGGAACGTGGCCTCGCGCCGGCGCAGCGACACGAACAGGAACTGCCGAGGGGAAAGGATCAACACGGAGCCACCCGGGGCTGCTCCCGGCCCCAGGGGGTATCCGGCCCTGCCGCCTCCGAGCATCCCATCCGCTCCGGCCACATCCCCCGCACGCGGCGCACGCGGCTCCCACCTTCTCCCCCTCAGCCGTGCGGATGCTGAGCGCGTTGGGCACCAGCAGCRCCGTGTTGGTCTTCTTGAGCGCCGAGATGGACGGCACGGGCACCACGGCCTGGCCGGAGACAGAAACACCAGGCGCTGGCACCGTGCCCCCCGCCCAGCGCCCCGCACCGCCCGCCCCGGCCCCCACCTTGATGTCCTTGAGCAGGAGGCTGGAGTGGAAGCAGACATGGCCGCTGGAGACGTAGAGACGCCCGTGATAGGGGACCTCCTTCTGCCAGGCGCAGGAGAAGCCTGCGGAGGGAGCGGGGCTGAGCGGCGCGGGGTGCACGGGGCGCACAGGGCGCGTGGGGTGCACGGCGCGTACGGGGTCGAGCGGGCACAAGGTGCGTGGCACGCGGGGCACTCACAGTCCAGCAGCACCTCCCGGGCGGCCACGGCGCCGAAGAGCCKGCGGAAGCTGGCGGCGCGCTTGCCGAGCTGCGGGAGAGCGGGACACGGCACCGCTGCAGCGCCCTCCGAAACGCCGGGCGCCCACGGCGTGTGGCTCAGGGTGGCACGGCCCGGGTTCGGGCAGCCCCAGAGGAGGAGGCTCCGCAGCCTCCCCGGGCGGCCGTCCCGGCTCTGCCTCCCTCGCAGTGAAGAGGCTCTTCCTCCCGTGCGGATGGAGCCTCCCGCGTTCCAGCTTGTGCCACCAAGCCCCCCCGCGCCCCTCGCTCTGCCTTGGCACTGGGATGTACCCGGCCCAGGCAAAGCGCCACCYGCACCCAGGGGCTGCCGTCCCCGTCGCAGCATCGCGGGGCTGTGACCCGTCCCCCCCGGCACCCCCAGGACTCACCGAGGAGGCCGGGCCTCCCTGCCTGCCCGCGCCGGCCTCCCCCTCGCCCTCCCTGCAGCACGAGGGGTCGTAGGTGCTGGACCTGAGGGCGGCAGCGGGGCTGAGCGGGGGCTCCGCGGTGCCCCGCGGGACAGCAGCACCCCGGGGCGCGAGGACGGCGCGCGGGCTGCGCCCCGGGGCGCCGCTCCCACCTGGCGAGCGCCGGGCGCCGGCCGTGCCGCGCGCTGCCCCGCTCCTCCAGGCTCTGCCAGCGCTTCTCCTCCAGCCCCTTCTTGCTGCTCTTCCTGGGCTTGCCGGCCACGCAGGGGGGCTCCCTGTGACCRCGGGCGGGTTAAGGGACACGTGCCCCATGTCCCTGCGCCGGACGGGCGGCCCCCACGCGGGGAAGGGGCCGCAGCGGCGCCCAGGGCACGGCCGGGCGCGGAGCAGCACCCGGTGCCTCCGTTCGCCCCGCATGGAGCCCGGCTCTCCTGGCCTCCCSAGGACGCAGGGAGGATGAGGACGGYGGGACGGGTGCCGGGTCGCTCTGCCCGGCTCCGTGCGGTGGGAGCAGYGTCCACAGGGATGCTCTGCGCCCCCGGGCTTTACCCACCCGGGACGGTGGCATCGGCGGCCCGCAGCAGCGGGGTGGTCACCAGGGTGGCAACCCCCAGATAGCTCGGGGAGCCCTAAAACAGCCTTGGGGATGGGAAACATGGACAGGCTGGGGCAGCGGGAGCCTCGCGCTGGCCTCAGCGGCCCTGGGCACCCAGGTCCCTGTTGTCCCACGGGAGCGTTTATGGGAAGGGCCGTGCGCAGTGCCCCGGCCTGGCACCCTGGCACCCCCTGCCTGCAGCCTCCACCGCAGCGACCCCCTTCCCGCCTCCCACGGGGCGTGGGGAGCCGGGCAGCGGCGCAGGACGCCTGGGCCCCGCAGGGAGCCAGCCGGGACGCAGCAGCCGCAGCAGGCGCTGACAGGACCCCCAGCTCCCGCCAAGCGCTTGAGACCCCCCTGAACCCCCAATCCCATGGGTGGGAAGCAGGAYGGGTCCCCCAGCCCGCCCGGTGCGTCCCGGGGAGCGCTCCGCAGGGAGCTCAAAGGGCAGGAGCGCCGGGCCCGCCCGCGCCCCCGGTACCTGCCGGCCGCGGCGGGCGGGAGCCCCCGGCGCGCGCCGGGGTCCTGCTCCCCGCCGGCCCCGCTCCGCTCCATGGCCAGCCCGGCACCCACGCTCCAGCCCGGCGCCCACGGGACCTGCCCCTGCGCACGGGACCTGCCCCTGCCCGCAGCCGCCTCCTCCTCCTCCTCCTCCTCCTCCTGGCGAGGAAGGGCGGGCTGCCACGCTCGCCAGGACCGGCCTCAGCAAGTCCCCGAGGGAGGCGTCAGGACCGACCGCGCCGCTCCCCGTGCTCCGGAGCCGCGCTGCGCTCCGGCCTCGGCACACGCTGCAACGCATGGGCAGCAGCGGCCGAGCGCCCGTGCGACTCCGCGGGAGCGCCATCCGCAGCCCTGCTGCCCACGCTCTGTCCCGCGTCCCACGGGATGAGGCACACACACGGAAGGGATATCCCGGCTCCCAGGAGGGCCGGAGGCTCCCCTCCGTGCAAGGCAGCCCCGGTGCCTCCTGCGGTGCCGCCGAGGGGCCCGTGGTGCCGGTGCTCCGGTGCCGGTGCTCCGCTCCGGACCACGGAGCGCGGCCACCACACGGGATGTCCCCGGGATCAGCCCCTGGGCTCCGGGACGGGCCCCCCGGCCTCGTGCGGCACTGGGAATTCGGGATGCAGGGAGCAGGGCAGCCGGGGCGCGCAGCAAGGGGCGGCGCGGTGCGTGTGACCCCAGCCGCCCCGAGCAAGGGAGAAACGCCAAGAAACGGAAAAAAAGGCACCAAGAAATCCCCAAGGATTTCTTGGGAGGCGCCGTGGGAGGTGGCGCGGCGGCCACTGGAGCAGGTGCCAAGGCCGCCTCCCGAGCGGAGCTGCCGGATCCGCCCGTGCCCTCTGGACCGGCGGCCTTTCCCACCGTCACGAGACCCGGCCGTAAACCGCGGGCCGCGGCGCTGCCCGGGCCGGCCGCCATGTCCGGGCCCCCGGGGGAACGGCCACCATGGCCCCCCCAGGGACCCCGCTGTGCAGCCCTCAGGGACCGGGGACCCCGCTCTAGAGCCCCCCCCGACCCCAGCCCCGCAGCCCC